ACTAGACCGTCAATAGCAGGCGCCAAACGTGATATCTGTAGCACATAATATGTCGCAGTCGAACCAGTTGCAGATCCACCTCTCGTTTCGCTTCTTCTACTGATGCATCGTCAGTCACATCGAGCTTAACAGCGCCAAACGGCTTCAACTTATCTAAGCATTTTAACAATTAACAGGAGTGGATGCGGCGGCAGTTTCTTACTAGCAGCCTCATCAAGTCTGGCTTGATCTCTGGCAGTCATGATGACCTTGGCACCATCAGCGATAAGCTTTTTAGATATTTCGTATCCGATGCCCTTGTTGGCACCAGTTACGATTATTACTGGACTCATTCCAAAGTAATAAATCTCTACGATAAAGTCTCAGTGAGAATGCCCAAAAGCTAGTCCTGTCGGAACCGCACACTTCGCTGTCTCCTTCGAGATCGGTGACACAAAAATCTGTCCCCATTGCCACAGTAGCATTGAACTAGTCTCGAGATACATTTCTATTGAACTCCACATACCTATGTGACCCCACCTGTCACCACCGAGGCAACCCCGGCCTTTGAATTCTAAGCCAGATTCCGACTAGCATAACACAATACGATAAAAGAACTCACTAAACTAAACACAATTGAATCTTATGTAGCAATAGGAATATATGAATAATAACAGTTCGTTACAACAATCAAACTACTAAAAACATTAATACATCAACCACCTTTTTCGTGCAATAGAGGGGTCCGTAGGCCTCCTCTCGTAGATCCTAAAAAGCCTCATTGGAGGAGTTCCACAACGAATAAGATCTCACCTTTGCAATGAGTCTGTTCGTCAACACCCCTCATCTTAACAGTATCACCAGTTGCTTGTATCCAGTATCGCCCATTGTCCTCAATCTGATTGAACTCTTAACAAGATCTCGAGATTCGAATCAGTGTTATATCAACACACTGGCGATCTATTTTTTAACGCGGGTTCGATCCCTAGCAAGGGTATTTTTCAAGGATTTTTCTGTTTTCCTAAGAGCCCAAGTCGCAGAGAGAAACTTCATTGCCTTTACACAAGACACTACGCAATCCCTCCTAAATGGTATACATGTCGCGAACTCAATTGACGAAGAATTGTTTTCGAGTGGCGACCGCATCGCAGGCGCCCACTTGAGCCGCCATTGTCAATCTCGACTGTGGCCAAATAGAATAGTGACAAACATGGATTCACATTTTGAATCTAAACCGAAGTCGATCGTAGCAGCGTCAACTTTGTCAGACTCGTATGGAGAACGATGTAATAATAATAATGCACAGTAATAGACAACATCTATCAAGACACACCAAGACTCAGCCTGCAGGAGCCCTGAAGAACAGCACGAGAGGGTCATAGTAGAGTAACTCACGTTATTAACCCATTCTTCCTCTTCCAATCTCAGTAGCCACTTCTTCCTCAAATGTAAAACCCAACTGACCATTGCTGAGACAGTCCAAATCCACCCTTGCCGCCGCCCCGTCGCTGCTGCTATCAAATATCCTCCTATAATTGGCGAATACAACTATAACAAAAACAACAACATCATCATCATCATAACGTTTGTTGATAACTCAGTTTACCATCTGCCAGTTATTGAACAGCTTAGGAATGGCCAATGTAACAACAGTAGTGAAAAATGCAACTAAACCAACACCAAAATGGAAATACATGTATTTCTGAGAAAGTGATGTCCAAACCACGTATGTTAACAAACCTGAAACTGTTATTATCATCATCATGTTTGAATTCTCATCATCAACTCACCAGAGGCGCAAGCAGATGACGCTACTACTGCTATCAAAGGAAAAAATACCGTCAAAATTCCTGAAACGAATAACTACAATAGTGGAGTGGAAATATGCACATTATCAACTAAATGTGTTGGTGTTGACGATATGGAAAATATGAGCAAAAATTATCATTGATTTCTGTACACTTCTACCCGGGTCACTCCTGAGCTCAGCTGAGGAATGCGAACATATATTCCTCCAACACTAAATTAGGATTCATAATAATACAGCGTGAAGTTTGCACCAATGTATCAAACATTAATGAAATTCACGTTTGCTTTCCTCAACTGAGGAGTTTCCAGAACTTCATTATAGAAATACTCACTTAGAAGTGTACAATACGTGTAGTTGATGATGAAGTAGT